ATCCTGCATTACCCCTAACAAGGAATAGACCCATAATTCCCATAGTTCAGGGTCATTAAGGTCATGCAGGATTTGTATCATCAACGGTATTTAGGTAATCCCAAAAAGGAATTGCGATGGAGCCTATGGCTAGAAGCCCCCAACCCGCAACCGGTTGGTAGAGAAACCTCTGCGCCCTATGCTGAAAGCTAATATTGGGGCTTTAGTAACTAGAATAGGGTTTTGGGGGGTTCCTTAGTACATGGTTACAGTATATTAGACCCCTAAAATTCTTAACCCTATACCCTAAACCCTACCCCTAAAATAATCCTATTCTAATTCTTAAGGCCCCTATATTGCCCTGGAGGCCGCCAACTTGCGAGGAGAGACTGAGGTCCGGATGCCTCCTTGCTCCGGCTGTTTTAGGAAGCAGGGTTTAGGGTTTAGGGTTTAGGGTTGGTTTACAAGATTCTGGGTTTGGGGTTGAGGTTTTAGGGGTTTTGGGGCTTTACCCACAGGCTCGTGGTTCATATTTAGGATGTTGTAAGGTAATCCCAAAAAGGAACTACGATGGAGCCTATCGGTAGGGTTTGGGGACGCGTCCGTGAGATTCCGTGTTTCTCGAGCTGAAGGCTAAACCCTACAGGCCTCTAGACCCTGAGTCTAACCTCCTTGGAGTTGCACCCCTGTGCGGCTGGAAAGAACCGTTCGGGCAAAGCTGAGAACCTGTTTTTGGCCTTTCTCCGGTTGGGGGATGAATGCTTAGCGATTGAAACTCGGCATGAAAACTCCATAGGCGTTGGAATTGTTCGTTGCTTCGTGGCTGATGATGTTTTAGCTGCCGTTGCCGTTTCTGCAGCAGGATTCCCCGAAAGCTGCTAATGCCTTAAAGTTTAACTCGAGTGTCTTGATTTCATACATGCGTGGCCGTACTGCTTCTGTAACCGGTTTAACCGCAGTACTTGCTTGAATCAGGACCTCCATCGCGACTCGTTACAAATCAAGGCAGTAGTCCCCAAAACCCTAAACCGTATAAATCCTAAACTCTCATTTAGTAGTGTTTCATGGTCGTAAACATCGAACCCCAGAAGCCAGAAAGCTAACCCTCGACTTCCTCCGATAGCGGTGACAAAGATCAGGCAGAGCTATCTGATCCGGACTTTCTCAAGCAGGCCACTCCGTTGCAGGGGCCGATTCGGATAGAAACCTTAATTGCAGCCTCAATGGTTTGCTACATTGGTTCGGGGTGTTCTGCGAGCCTCAGCGTCGTAGATGTTTCGAGTGCTAGGGGGTCAAGGTGAGGAATCTGAGTGCAGACGCGGCTCTTGTGCAGTGAGGTTTCGGGTGGATACTAGGAACAACAAATTTACTGCACATAAGCTCCATGCTCCTGTTGGGGGGGGTGCGGAGCGGGCGCCTCAGCCACCCATGGGGTCACAAACCCGCTCCCTGGCACCTAACCCGAAACCATACAGATCCTATAAGTTTTATCAACCATATCAACCAATAGCCCATGCAAAGCTGTATGAGCCCTACAACAACCTTACCTTCGAAAGCTTAAACCCTAACCCCTAAACTCTCTACCCTAAACCTCTCGTATATGTATACTAAATTGCAAACCTTAATAGGTTTAGCCGGCAATGGCGATGTTCGGGTGTTTGTTGCACCATTGCCAGCTCAAAAATCAAGCGTTTCCGCTGGGCACACCTGGCTTTAGTCGGTAATGGCGATTTCGGATTGTTCGGCGTTCTGCTGGGCAGGGCACACCTAGTTTCCTCGCCGGCACTGGCGATTTCTGTTTTTCGTCGCTCGTTAGTTAGCCAGTCAGTCAGTCAGTCAGTCAGTCAGTGAGTGAGTAGGTGAGTTAGTTAGTTAGTTGGTTAGTTAGTTTAGTTCAGTTAGTTTAGTTTAGTTTAGTTTAGTTTAGTTTAGTTTAGTTTAGTTTAGTTTAGTTTAGTTTAGTTCAGTTCAGTTCAGTTCAGTTCAGTTCAGTTCAGTTTAGTTTAGTTTAGTTTAGTTTAG